CCCCCCACCCCTCTCGCCCTGTCCCGGGCCCAGCTGGGAGGCTGCGGCGTCCTCGGCGTCGGCGTCTGGCTGGCGGCCACGCAGGGGAGCTTCGCCACGCTGTCCTCCTCCTTCCCGTCCCTGTCAGCCGCCAACCTGCTTATCGTCACCGGCACCTTTGTGATGGCCATTGGCTTTGTGGGCTGCATTGGGGCCATCAAGGAGAACAAATGCCTTCTGCTCACTGTGAGTCCGGGCGAGGGGCACACCGGGCGGGACGCGGTGGGAGGGGCGGTGCTCAGGGGAGGCCTCCCCTGACGGGGACACACACACACACACACACACACACACACACACGTGTGCCGGGCAGGGCCCCTCCAGCTGATACTGGGTGTTTCGTCCAAGACCCCCCTCTCCAACCACTCCCTCTCCAGCTCCTGTCCCAGCCCTCCTGGATCCCCAGGACCCTCAGCTTTGGAGATGGATTTAGAGGCGGGAACGTTAATCACAGATAATGGAGGAAAATGATCCCTGGGCCGGGCTCCCTACCTATCAGTGTGCCCAACACAGAGGCCTCTGGCTGCCACCCAGGTCCTAAATCACCTGCTTCAAATGGGGCTTTTGTCACGGGTGGGGCCTCCAGACGGTCTCAGAGGGCGCGTCCCCCATCTGTGCAGCTTCTGCAAGTGTCCAGCACGTTCCAGATGTTCCCGTCGGGGCCTGGACCCCTCGGAGCAGTGGGTAGGGTGTGGCTTCGGCCCCTTGGACAAAGGAGAAAGCTGGGGCGCGTGTGGGGCCCCGACCCTGGCCTTTCCCACGGGGTGACTTGGAGTTCGGAGGCTGGTGCCTGCTGGGGCAGCGTGGGCCCAGGTTGAGGGGGAACAAGATCGGGCAACCCAGGAGAGGACCGGGCCCACTCTCCTGGCCCTGTCCCTTCTCCCCACTCTGTCCAGGGGCCCCATGGGGCCAGTGGGGCTTCAAAGAGCAGTGTGCCCCACTTATCCTGGCTTCTGGCCCTGCCCCCCGCCCTCCTTTCTGGGGGAGCGACGTGGCGGGAAAGGAGGTGCCGGCTGGCTCCACTGCTCAGCCTGGTCGTGGCACCAGGGCTGTGCCTCTGTGGGTGCCCGAGTGGAGTCTGCCACTCTGTGAGCGGTCTGGGCAGTCGGGTGGTGGCTCCTCCAGCTTGGTCCTGCCTGAGTAGGCACTGCCCCCCCGGCTGCCCTTGGGGACATGACCTGGGGCTGGGGGGTCACTGCAGTTGGACCCACTCTCTGGATGGGGGCTCCTGGGGCGTCCCTCCACCCGGCTGCCCATCACAAGGACACAGGCGCGGGACACACGCGTGTGCTTAAAGGTCGAGCGAAAGATGACGGCCCCTGGGATGGAGATGGGAGGGTCCCGAGGGAGGTGGGGCAGCCCTGGCTGGGGGCGCCGGGCGGCGTGCAGCCCCGCCCCCTGGGGGCCGGCCCGCTGAGGCTGTGGCCTCCCCGCCCTCAGTTCTTCCTGCTGCTGCTGCTGGTGCTCCTGTTGGAGGCCTCCCTCGCCATCCTGTTCTTCGCTTACACCGACAAGGTACCGCTGCCTGCGCCTCGGGTGTGGGTGTGGGTACTCCCCCTCCCCCGCAGCGAGGCCCAGGCGCCGTGGGCAGCGAGGAGGCAGGGGGGGCCGAGAACCCACGCCAGGGACCCCCAGCTCTGCGTGGACAGACACTGGGAGCCGGGCCGTGGGTTTGCTTCTAACTGCAGCCCCAGGAGGCCGGGCCTGGAGGCTCCGGAAAGGTGTCTGAGCGCCCAGGAGGCCCGGGCTGGGTCCCCGCTGTCTCAGCTGCGTGTCAGCTGGAGGGGAAAAAGCTCCCATCCCCCACTCCCCTTCAGTTGTTCACTTACACAAGTGAGGGCTCATTTACGTGTGTTTTATTCTCTGGGTTATACTCCAAGACTGTTATTTTTTGCTCACCCGGTTTGGCTTTGGCGGCTGGAGCTCTCAGTCGGCTCCCGCGTCCCTTATGTGCCCCTCAGAGCACTTCCCTCCTTTCTGGTGCTAGAAAGACGCTCCAGGCCCATCTTGGGGATTCCCCGCCCCAGCCCTGGAATCGGCCGTTTCTCCAGGGAGCCTGGTTCCTTTACTGGAGAACGAATGCTCTTAGGAGCCAAGATCTGGGCCCTCTCGGCTGGCAGCACGGACCTCTGTGGGTTGTAACCGGTGTGTGCAGACACAGCCCCGAGGGTTTCTGTGCCCGTCCGTCTCCGTCTGTACGTTAACTGACGTGTCTGACTTGGATCCCGTGCTCGGCACCACGGGAGGCCCAGGGAGACCTTGGGGCAAAGGCCAGAGCCTGGTGGGGGCTTCTGGGAGGAGGTGACCGCAGGGAGGGCGACAGAAGGCACAGGGGGCCGGGGCAGGTCGGGGTCTGGACGAGGTAGGTGGAGCCGGCCACAGGGTGGCCCTGCTGTCCTGCAGATCGACAGGTATGCACAGCGGGACCTGAAGAAGGGCCTGCACCTGTATGGCACCCCGGGCAACGTGGGCCTCACCAACGCCTGGAGCATCATTCAGACAGACGTGAGTCGGAGTGTGGCCGGGCGTGTAGACGGGGGACGTGGCTGGGGCGGGGACGTGTCCCCCTCCGGCGCACCGTCCCAGCCCACTTCTCCCGCAGTTCCGCTGCTGCGGGGTCTCCAACTACACCGACTGGTTCGAGGTCTACAACGCCACGCGCGTGCCAGACTCCTGCTGCCTGGAGTTCAGCGAGAGCTGCGGGTTGCATGCGCCCGGCACCTGGTGGAAGGCGGTGAGCCCGGCCCCGGGACTGGGGGTGGAGGGCCGGCCTCGCGCCCCCGTGACGCCTGCTCTTCCTGCAGCCGTGTTACGAGACAGTGAAGGTGTGGCTCCAGGAGAACCTGCTGGCCGTGGGTGTCTTCGGGCTGTGCACAGCACTGGCTCAGGTGCGCGGGGGCCCCGCCCCGCCCCGGTCCCACCCCGGCCCCGCCCCGGCCCGACGGCCTGTGTGTGGAGGCCCTGAGCCCAGAGAACAAAGCGGCAGAGGAGTGTGGGTCCCCAGGCAGAGGTGGGGCTTGCAGGGTTTAGTCAGGGACGATGTCCACAGGGGGGTGACCTTGGACACCTCCGAGGACAGGCCTCCCCGGACTCCTGAGCAGAGGGCCCTGCTGTCCCCGCGTGGACGGAAGCACAGACTGGACGCCTCTACTAAGGGCCCACGTGCCAGCCCCATTCCTGCAGGTCCTACCCAGTGGCCGTGGTGGGCGGTGGTCACGGAACTGCCCAGTGCAGAGTGAAGTGGGCAGCCCAGGCCCTGGTGTGAAGTCCAGCCAGCCCACCTCTGCTCCCCAACCCCCATGCAAGACCCGAGTGCCAGTACCCTGGGGGAGCTCTAAGTCAAGCAGTGTCGGGGCAGCCCCCGTTTCTGGGGTGCAGACAGGGGTCCCAGACAGATATTCCCTAAGGGGTGATGGCAGTTTGACAAAGGGGCAGAGGGCAGCTGCTGGGGGCCTAGCCTGGAACCCGTAGGCCCTGAGACCACCGGTGGAGCCCAGGGTGGCCAAACCCAACCCAAAGGGAAGGCAGGTCTGGGGTTGGGGCTGAGCGCAAGGGCCCGTAGGGGCCAGGCTCTACCCGAGGCTTCCCCAGGGAAGGGGGCTTCAGGCCACCTGGGAAGCTGTGGTGTGGGGTCGGGGTGCCTGCCGCGGGCTGCCGTCCCTGGAGCAGCCCTGCCCAGTCCCCGCCTCTCCCCACAGATCTTGGGCCTGACCTTTGCCATGATGATGTACTGCCAGGTGGTGAAGGCTGACACCTACTGTGCGTAGGCTGCCAGCTGCCCGCCACCCCTGCTTCGCTGCTGAAGGACGTCGCCCCTGGGGAGATGACAGCGTCCCCACCTGCGTCTCCCGCTACAGGACCTCTCACCAGCCCAGGCATGGGGGTGGGAGGACCAGGCAGCCAGAGCCCCCAGGGCTGCCAGCCAGGCCTGTGAGCGCCGCCGCGCGGCCGGGGCTACAGTCGGGAGGAGCTTCTGGCGCTTCTTACACCCAGGTATCCTCCAGAGCAGTGTTCTGCCCCGCAGCCCTGTGCAGGGCAGGGGGCTGGGGTGGGAGGTGAGGGACTGACCACTGGTCCTGGTGCTCGAGGCGGGTCTGCAGCCCCGTCCACCCACATTCCACAGCGGGGCCGGGGCCGGCTCTGCGTGCGTCTTAATAAAGTGTGTGGGCAGCAGCCCCCGAGCCGTGTCTCTTGCTGCCCTGACCCTGGGGGGGGCCACACCAGACAGGCCCTGTGTGGCCGTGGATCCTCCGCCCACCAATACCGGCCTGGTGCCCGGAGTGGGGTTCCGGGATGTGCGTGGGCCCAGCGGGGGGAGCTCCCTGACCAGGCAGATGGTGGCCCCTGCGCCCGCAGAGGATGGCAAGAGAACCTCAGTGAGGCTGGCTCCAAGCCGTGGCAGAGACCCGCCCACGGCCCGTGCTGCGGACACCCCTCTCCCGACGTGGGGTGGCCCCCATCCAGCCTCAGGGCCTCCCCCTCCCCCAGGGGTGTCCTCCCAAAATGGAGCTCAGCTCCATCTTTCCTGTTCTCTTTCTATTCCTATTTCGTTCCTGGGAACTTTGTCCCTTAAGTGTCACTGGCGGATTCTGCACGTAAGCGGCTGTTGGCAGCAAAGCAGTCGTCACAAGGCCCAGAATCAGGGAAACGGTCCGACTGCGTCAAACCACCTCAAAGGTGGGGCGGGGCTTCCTGAGGACAGGACTGGCGGGGAGTGAGGAGGGTGGTGGGTCTGGGGGTCCAGGCTGGGGGATGGTCCCCTCCCAAGGGCCTCACTAGCTGTGGGGCATCTGACCCCCCAAATGGCACCCCATACTCTCAGTTTCCAGCCCGTACTCCTGCCGGCCCTGCGGCCCCACCCCCTCTGCACCCTTGCTGTGTGGCAGACCTGCCTGGTGATGCCTAGCCAGGCACTGACCCCGGCACAACCCAGACTACGAGGGTGCCTGGCCCCTCCTGGCCCTTGGATCCCCACCCCACGCCCCACCGGCCTCCTCTGTCCTCACTCCACGGAAGCCACCAGAACGCCGGGGACTGTTCCAGCAGAAGTAACAGAGTTAGCGGTTCACGCACCAAAACCAAACTGTCCTCAGGCACCACAGCAAACAAGCAGGAAGGAAGTGAGCACGGTCCAGCCAAGCTGTCCCCCAAGCCCTGCCAGCGCCCTCTGCCCAGGTCCCCGTTCGCACCTCTCCAGCTCTGCTCGGTGAAAGCCGCTGCTTGCCTGTGCTCGGTCATCCCCCCACGTCTCAGGCGCAGCCTTGCGGGCACCAGACCCTCACGCCCAGCCCTGACTCAGCTTCTCACGGCCCCCAAGCTGCCTTGGCAGCCCCGGCTCCACTGAGGTCCCACTGGGACACGCGGGGCCAGCCCTGCCTGCTGCCACGTGCTGGCCCGTGCCTCCGTGGGGTTCCCAGGCCCCCTCCCCCATCGCTGGTTTCCCCGTCCTCTAAGCTTAGGCTGAGGAGCCTCCCAGGCACCTGGCATCCGGTCACCCAGCTGGCTCCACGTCCACAGACACCGAGCACGCTGTGGGCCCACAACTGGCCTTGCCCGCTTAGGCCCCAACTCCTGCAGACCGCCCCGCACCACAGCCCAGCGCCCACTCCCAGTGCAACGGCCTCCTGCTCCCCTCCTGACCAGGCCTTTGAAGCTGTGGGGACCGGCCTAAAGCCCAGCCCTTGGGACCACAGCCAGGGGTGTGGTGGGCAGTGTGGGGCTGAGGGCCTTGGGGAGATGGGCTGGCACAGGCAGGTGGGGGGGGGCATCTTACCTACCACCCCAAGTGCACGCCTGAAGCCCACGCTGGTATAAATGGGGTGTCCAGGTGGGCTGCCGCCAGCCAGCCTAGTTTCCGCTAGGGGGCCACGAGGCCAGACCTCCAGCCCCACCACGAGCAGCAGGGTTCTTCCTTGGGACAGGTGCCGAGGACCCAGCCAGGCCCTGACCCTGAGGACAGATACATGTTCCTTAGGACCCTCCCCCAGTCACGTCCCACAGCCGCTGCACCCTGGGCTCACGCACAGCGTATGACCAGCGGGTCCAGCAAGCAGCACCATCACATGTGGATTCATCTGCTTGGAGCCAGCGGGCCCACCGAGGGGGCGAGGGCTGGGGGTCTGCTGTCCTTCAACTCCTGGCAACCCAGGGCTTCTCCCACTGCTCCCTCCTGGGAGCGTGGCCGTTCCCAGCGGGCAGTGGGCCTGCGGCAAGCTGTCGTTCCACAGTGACTACACAGCCCACGGCACCACTGTGGGACACGGCCAGCCTCTCGGAGCCCCGGTCTCCACCGTGGCGCCCCCACCCTCGCCGTGTGGTGCCCATCGGGCTCCCAGGCAGGCAAGCTGAGCCAGCACCTGCAGCGGGAGGCCAGGGCCCCTCTGCACGGCCCTGGGGTGATGCCCACTGGAGTGTCCAAGTGTCAGGGAGCCTGGGGCTGTCCCGGAGCCTCCCAACCCACAGCGATCTGCAGGCCGTGCAGGACTCCCTGCCAGCCTGTGGGGCGGGGACTGTGGGTCCTGCGGTCACCGGCCACCAGCAGGCAGACAGCCAGGGCTGGGCCACAGGGGCCTGCTGCCCCCCACCCCCCGGACTGCCCGCGCCATCACTGATGAGGAGCCCGGGGTCCCAGGCCGCCCTGACCCCGCCCGAGGCCGCAGCACACACAGCACGGGAAATGGAAGCGTCTGTATTTTGCCTGTCGTTCCCCGCGTCTCTTGGAAAAGCTCAGGGCGGCTCCAGGCCAGGCCTACAGCAGGTCATAGAAATAGTCCAGGCCCTGGCCCAGCTCCCAGATGGACAGCCCGACGCCCAGCTCCCTGGCCAGCTCTAGCCGCACCTGCAAGGACTGAAGCAGCGGGAGCGTTGGCCCCGTCCCA